TTTTTCCTTATTATATTTAAGCTACCTTCATATTCCATACATAAATTTCTTTTATTTTGTACAATTGAACAATCCTTAAGTTTATTTTGTTCTGTACATGTGGACAGGAGAACCATACTTAAGTTTCTGCTGTACACATAGACAGGTGAACCATACTTAAGTTTATTCTGTTCTGACATACAGACAGGTGAACCATACTTAAGTTTCTGCTGTTCTGTACATGTGGACAGGTGAACCATACTTACGTTTCTGCTGTACACATAGACAGGTGAACCATACTTAAGTTTATTCTGTTCTGACATATAGACAGGTGAACCATACTTGAGTTTCTGCCATACTTAAGTTTCTGCTGTTCTGTACATATAGACAGGTGAACCATACTTAAGTTTCTGCTGTTCATGTACATGTGTTTCTGCTGTACATATAGGTGAACCATACTTAAGTTTCTGCTGTTCTGTACATATAGACAGGTGAACCATACTTAAGTTTCTGCTGTACATGTAGACAGGTGAACCATACTTAAGTGTCTGCTGTACATGTAGACAGGTGAACCATACTTAAGTTTCTGCTGTACATGTGGACAGGTGAACCATACTTAAGTTTCTGCTGTACATATAGACAGGTGAACCATACTTAAGTTTCTGCTGTACATGTGGACAGGTGAACCATACTTAAGTTTCTGCTGTACATGTAGACAGGTGAACCATACTTAAGTTTCTGCTGTACATGTAGACCGGTGAACCATACTTAAGTTTCTGCTGTACATATAGACAGGTGAACCATACTTTAGTTTCTGCTGTACATGTGGACAGGTGAGTCATACTTCAGTTTCTGCTGTCTGGATATTTTGGCTTTTTAGGCTCAATGATACTTACTTTGCAAGTGAAACATCACCTTAATTCAGTCTTAATTCAGTTTTATATAAGGAACTATTGTAAAAGATGCATTTTATGTAAAATGCAATTAGTTGTTATGAAAGAGCTTGGGATATTTTGAGTATGTTTCCAGATAGTTGAGTTTTCCAAAAAAACAACAGCAATTGATTTTTCTCAAATACAATGAAATTTCCTTTGATGTCGAAAAAAAGTGGCCATGTCTGATGTAGAACAAATACTTTGTGAAAGGTAGTCAGGTTGATTATGTGTGTTCAATAGACATAGGGAGAATTAAATCAAAATTAAACCTAAAACTTTAATTTCACATTTGTGTATTGGTAAAAATAATGAGTTTTCTTTATACAAATTTTGAATTGAAAATGAATGATCTCACGAGACAATCATTTGAATACCAATGGTGTCTTTTGAATGCTAGCACAAGATCCGAATGTAATTTATGCATTTGTGCTTTTTTCATAAGAGATAAATGAAAAATGTTTTATTCATCAGTGTCCTTAAGTTACTAAAGGAAATTGACCGATATGCAGAGGTAGTTTTAGATCCCACCACCCACAGCCCTCCACAGACACCACTACATACTTCTGTATATCTTGCTGTACTTTTTACACCAACCAGAATGACAGCGACAGAGGTAATTATAGAGTTACTGATAACATTGTTCTGTGACTAGTGAACTTGTTTCTACCCCTGGGTTATAATTCTTTAGACTTTGCCTAGTTAGGTGAAACATGCCCTTGACCAGTCCAGAATAGTTTACAATTCATGAGATTTTGCCTAGTTAGGTGAAACATGCCCTTGACCAGTTCAGAATAGTTTATAATTCATGAGATTTTGCCTAGTTAGGTGAAACATGCCCTTGACCAGTCCAGAATAGTTTATAATTCATGAGACTTTGCCTAGTTAGGTGAAACATGCCATTGACCAGTCCAGAATAGTTTATAATTCATGAGACTTTGCCTAGTTAGGTGAAACATGCCCTTAAAGTTTATAATTCATGAGATTTTGCCTAGTTAGGTGAAACATGCCCTTAGTTTATAATTCATGAGATTTTGCCTAGTTAGGTGAAACATGCCCTTAAAGTTTATAATTCATGAGATTTTGCCTAGTTAGGTGAAACATGCCCTTAAAGTTTATAATTCATGAGATTTTGCCTAGTTAGGTGAAACATGCCCTTGACCAGTTCAGAATAGTTTATAATTCATGAGATTTTGCCTAGTTAGGTGAAACATGCCCTTAAAGTTTATAATTCATGAGATTTTGCCTAGTTAGGTGAAACATGCCCTTAAAGTTTATAATTCGTGAGATTTTGCCTAGTTAGGTGAAACATGCCCTTAAAGTTTATAATTCATGAGATTTTGCCTAGTTAGGTGAAACATGCCCTTGACCAGTCCAGAATAGTTTATAATTCATGAGATTTTGCCTAGTTAGGTGAAACATGCCCTTGACCAGTCCAGAATAGTTTATAATTCATGAGATTTTGCCTAGTTAGGTGAAACATGCCCTTAAAGTTTATAATTCATGAGATTTTGCCTAGTTAGGTGAAACATGCCCTTGACCAGTCCAGAATAGTTTATAATTCATGAGACTTTGCCTAGTTAGGTGAAACATGCCCTTAAAGTTTATAATTCATGAGATTTTGCCTAGTTAGGTGAAACATGCCCTTAAAGTTTATAATTCATGAGATTTTGCCTAGTTAGGTGAAACATGCCCTTAAAGTTTATAATTCATGAGATTTTGCCTAGTTAGGTGAAACATGCCCTTGACCAGTCCTGAACCATTTTAAGGGTTCATGGTTTATCATGGCCGGATACCAAGACTGAGTGTAGAGAAGATAGTTTGAATATAATGGTAAACCTGGTCAGCAGATGGTGATGTCTTATACTGTTGATTTTTTTATAAAAATACTTTTCAATCAAGCAAAACAAAATTAGCATCCATTGATCTGTATGGACAAAAAATCCCCAAAAATTTAAAGTCCCAAATTGTACCTAGCTTTGGTTATTATTGATATAAAATGGCTGATACTATAACAAACCATATCACAGAAACATAAAAAGTAGGTTACAGTGACCTCACTCCGTACGAAGTTAACTCGGTCAATGTTGATTTAAAATGTCTGATTATAAGGAACACAATATCACTGAAGCATGGAAAGTAGGTCAAGGGTCACAGTGACCTTATGACAGACCCCCAAAAAAAATTACCCAAAATTGTACTTATAACAATTTGGTTAATGTTGATATAAAATGGCTGATGCCATAACCAACACATATCACTGCAGCATGAAATCTTTTTAAAAAAAATATCATTCCATTTCATCTGACTTCAAATGTATTCAAGTTTTATACATAGAATCAATAAAAATAAGTTAACTATCATATTTGTATTTGGTTTGTGATGTAGGTAATAAATTAACAACAGTTATCCATAAATAATGAATGGCAATTGATATAGGTTTTATCAAAATCTCCACGGTACATTAAGTTCTTTGTCGACATTTCTACTGTTATTGCTTCTAGGTGGTTGTGCTATTGTACACAATTTCACTGCTTCATTGATCTGTGCTACGTGATTGTTCTGGGTGGTTGTGCCCTTGTACACTTTCCTGTGATTGTTCTGGGTGGTTGTGCTGTGGTTGTGCTTGCACATAACACTTTCCTGTGATTGTTCTGGTGTTGCTCTTGCCTGTGATTGTTCTGGGTGGTTGTGCTTGCACATAACACTTTACTGTGATTGTTCTGGGTGGTTGTGCCCACATACACTTTCCTGTGATTGTTCTGGGTGGTTGTGCCCTTGTACACTTTCCTGTGATTGTTGGTTGTGCTCTTTCATAACAATTTACTGGGTGGTTGTGCCCTTGTACACTTTTTACTGTGATTGTTCTGGGTGGTTGTGCTTCTTGCACAAACACGTTCCTGTGATTGCTGTGGGTGGTTGTACCCTTGCACATAACACTTTACTGTGATTGTTCTGGGTGGTTGTGCCCTTGTACACTTTCCTGTGATTGTTCTGGGTGGTTGTGCTCTTGTGCACTTTCCTGTGATTGTTCTGGATTGGCTTTTCCTGTGATTGTTCTGGGTGGCTGTGCCCTTGCACTTTCCTGTGATTGTTCTGGGTGGTTGTGCCTTGTACACACTTTCCTGTGATTGTTCTGGGTGGTTGTGTTCTTGTACACTTTACTGTGATTGTTCTGGGTGGTTGTGCCCTTGTACACTTTACTGTGATTGTTCTGGGTGGTTGTGCCCTTGTACACTTTCCTGTGATTGTTCTGGGTGGCTGTGCTCTTGCACAACACGTTCCTGTGATTGCTGTGGGTGGTTGTACCCTTGCACATAACACTTTACTGTGATTGTTCTGGGTGGTTGTGCCCTTGTACACTTTCCTGTGATTGTTCTGGGTGGTTGTGCCCTTGTACACTTTCCTGTGATTGTTCTGGGTGGTTGTGCTCTTGCACATAACATTTTCCTGTGATTGTTCTGGGTGGCTGTGCTCTTGCACAACACTTTCCTGTGATTGCTCTGGGTGGTTGTGCCCTTGTACACTTTACTGTGATTGTTCTGGGTGGTTGTGCCCTTGTACACTTTCCTGTGATTGTTCTGGGTGGTTGTGCTCTTGTACACTTTCCTGTGATTGTTCTGGGTGGTTGTGCCCTTGTACACTTTCCTGTGATTGTTCTGGGTGGTTGTGCCCTTGTACACTTTCCTGTGATTGTTCTGGGTGGTTGTGCTCTTGTACACTTTCCTGTGATTGTTCTGGGTGGTTGTACCCTTGCACATAACACTTTACTGTGATTGTTCTGGGTGGTTGTGCCCTTGTACACTTTCCTGTGATTGTTCTGGGTGGTTGTGCCCTTGCACATAACACTTTCCTGTGATTGTTCTGGGTGGTTGTGCTCTTGTACACTTTACTGTGATTGATCTGGGTGGTTGTACCCTTGCACATAACATTTTACTGTGATTGTTCTGGATGGTTGTGCCCTTGTACACTTTCCTGTGATTGTTCTGGGTGGTTGTGCTCTTGTACACTTTCCTGTGATTGTTCTGGGTGGTTGTGCCCTTGTACACTTTCCTGTGATTGTTCTGGGTGGTTGTGCCCTTGTACACTTTACTGTGATTGTTCTGGGTGGTTGTGCCCTTGTACACTTTCCTGTGATTGTTCTGGGTGGTTGTGCTCTTGTACACTTTCCTGTGATTGTTCTGGGTGGTTGTACCCTTCTACACTTTCCTGTGATTGTTCTGGGTGGCTGTGCTCTTGTACACTTTCCTGTGATTGTTCTGGGTGGTTGTACCCTTGCACATAACACTTTACTGTGATTGATCTGGTTGGTTGTACCCTTGTACACTTTCCTGTGATTGTTCTGGGTGGTTGTATCCTTGCACATAACACTTTACTGTGATTGCTCTGGGTGGTTGTGCCCTTGTACACTTTCCTGTGATTACTGTGATTGCTTTGGATGGTTATGCCCTTGCACATAACACTTTCCTGTGATTGTTCTGGGTGGTTGTGCCCTTGTACACTTTCCTGTGATTGTTCTGGGTGGTTGTGCTCTTGCACATAACACTTTACTGTGATTGTTCTGGGTGGTTGTGCCCTTGTACACTTTCCTGTGATTGCTCTGGGTGGTTGTGCTCTTGGACATAACACTTTCCTGTGATTGCTCTGGGTGGTTGTGCCCTTGTACACTTTACTGTGATTGTTCTGGGTGGTTGTGCACTTGTACACTTTACTGTGATTGTTCTGGGTGGTTGTGCCCTTGCACATAACACTTTACTGTGATTGTTCTGGGTGGTTGTGCCCTTGTACACTTTACTGTGATTGTTCTGGGTGGTTGTGCCCTTGTACACTTTCCTGTGATTGTTCTGGGTGGTTGTGCCCTTGTACACTTTCCTGTGATTGTTCTGGGTGGTTGTGCTCTTGTACACTTTCCTGTGATTGTTCTGGGTGGTTGTACCCTTGCACATAACACATTACTGTGATTGCTCTGGGTGGTTGTGCCCTTGCACATAACACTTTACTGTGATTGTTCTGGGTGGTTGTACCCTTGCACATAACATTTTACTGTGATTGTTCTGGGTGGTTGTGCCCTTGTACACTTTACTGTGATTGTTCTGGGTGGTTGTGCCCTTGTACACTTTCCTGTGATTGTTCTGGGTGGTTGTGCCCTTGTACACTTTCCTGTGATTGTTCTGGGTGGTTGTGCTCTTGTACACTTTCCTGTGATTGTTCTGGGTGGCTGTGCTCTTGTACACTTTCCTGTGATTGTACCGGGTGGTTGTGCCCTTGTACACTTTCCTGTGATTGTTCTGGGTGGTTGTGCCCTTCTACACTTTCCTGTGATTGTTCTGGGTGGCTGTGCTCTTGTACACTTTCCTGTGATTGTTCTGGGTAGTTGTGCCCTTGTACACTTTCCTGTGATTGTTCTGGGTGGTTGTGCCCTTCTACACTTTCCTGTGATTGTTCTGGGTGGCTGTGCTCTTGCACACTTTCCTGTGATTGTTCTGGGTAGTTGTGCCCTTGTACACTTTCCTGTGATTGTTCTGGGTGGTTGTGCCCTTGTACACTTTCCTGTGATTGTTCTGGGTGGTTGTGCCCTTCTACACTTTCCTGTGATTGTTCTGGGTGGTTGTGCCCTTGTACACTTTCCTGTGATTGTTCTGGGTGGTTGTATCCTTGCACATAACACTTTACTGTGATTGTTCTGGGTGGTTGTGCCCTTGTACACTTTCCTGTGATTGTTCTGGGTGGTTGTACCCTTGCACATAACACATTACTGTGATTGCTCTGGGTGGTTGTGCCCTTGCACATAACACTTTACTGTGATTGTTCTGGGTGGTTGTGCCCTTGTACACTTTACTGTGATTGTTCTGGGTGGTTGTGCCCTTGTACACTTTACTGTGATTGTTCTGGGTGGTTGTGCCCTTGTACACTTTCCTGTGATTGTTCTGGGTGGTTGTGCTCTTGTACACTTTCCTGTGATTATTCTGGATGGTTATGCCCTTGCACATAACACTTTCCTGTGATTGTTCTGGGTGGTTGTGCTCTTGTACACTTTCCTGTGATTGTTCTGGGTGGTTGTGCTCTTGTACACTTTCCTGTGATTGTTCTTAACACTTTACTGTGATTGTTCTGGGGTGGTTAACACTTTACTGTGTGGGTGGTTTGTACACTTTACTGTGATTGATCTGGGTGGTTGTACCCTTGCACATAACATTTTACTGTGATTGTTCTGGATGGTTGTGCCCTTGTACACTTTCCTGTGATTGTTCTGGGTGGCTGTGCTCTTGCACACTTTCCTGTGATTGTTCTGGGTAGTTGTGCTCTTGCACATAACACTTTACTGTGATTGTTCTGGGTGGTTGTACCCTTGTACACTTTCCTGTGATTGTTCTGGGTGGTTGTACCCTTGCACATAACACTTTACTGTGATTGTTCTGGGTGGTTGTGCTCTTGTACACTTTACTGTGATTGTTCTGGGTGGTTGTGCTCTTGTACACTTTCCTGGGTGGTTGTGCTCTTGTGATTGTTTTCCTGTGATTGTTCTGTGATTTACTGTGATTGCTCTGGGTGACATAACACTTTACTGTGATTGTTCTGGGTGGTTGTGCCCTTGTACACTTTACTGTGATTGTTCTGGGTGGTTGTGCCCTTGTACACTTTACTGTGATTGTTCTGGGTGGTTGTGCTCTGGGTGGTACACTTTCCTGTGATTGTTCTGAGTGTGCACACTTTCCTGTGTATTGTTCTGAAAAGTAGTCGTCAACCATTACAAGGAGACCTTGCCCTAAAAAGAGCCTGGCTGTTAACAGAGGAATTAGCCAGCAACCAATTAATCAAAGAATTCAAACTTCAACCACATGTGATCATGGATTATAAAGATCAATATTAGATTTCTAATAGGGTATTGTTGTAGGTCTGTTTCAAAAAAAAGTTAACGAATAATTAATTTTTCTTGTTTACGGTGTATGAATGTTTTTCAAGTGAAAATTAAATATGAATATGTAAAATGTTACATAGCTGTGTTTACAATGAGATGGAAGATTTGAGGAGTGTTTGGCAGCACACTTACAATAAATATATGACATAAGCGTGTATGAGAGGTGTTGGGAGTTCAGGTAGGCTAGATGCTTCTCCTATACAAAGCTGACTGTCACCACCACAGATTACGCACTATTGATAACATGTCCTTTTACACAATTTCACACTCACTGAATTCGAAATGATGAGTTCAATGACGATTTCTCTTTTCACTGTGTCACCAAGGAAAACATATGATAGGCATATATGCCAGGACAATGGAACATTTTCACAACAAAGTGTAAGTCTGAAAATAAATATTTTTATTCTTCAACATTGGTTCATACTTTTGTTTTCTTGAAGTTACTCTACTTAAGTGATGAGTAAGTTATATATGTCTCATTGTTTTATGTTCATTATATTTCATCAGTTAAAAACTGACTGATTTCTGATTTATTTCAAGATGTAACATGGCATTTGATTGGTCAATTGAAGTAATACATAATATACTATCTGACCCACTACATCCTGAAAACAACATCAGGAATGTTACTGAATGTTACTGAATGTTACTATGGCACCATGAGTCCTGAGCAAATTTCTAACTAAACCAAAACTGACACTGAATTATCATTTTCTTGCTTCTTCAAATCTACATGAATTAAAATAGGTTTAACGTTACTGTGAAATTTCTGGCAGTATATAGTGAGTATACTGTTGCAATATCCATTTCATTTTCTCAGCTCTGCATTGCCACTAAATCTTGATTTCTGATGCACTTCCTCAAATTTCAAAACATAGTAGGATCATCCCAGAATAAAAAAATAAATTCTGTTGTAATTTGAAATAAAAATTGATGTGAGAAATTTCTCAAAACATGCTTTACGTATGATATGAAATATCAGTACAGTATATGATACATAACAGAAAATTTGGTTAAAAAATAAACATACAATGGCAAAAGAAGACTTTCTAGCTTTAGTTGTTAGCAGCTGATATCAAGATCTGTCCATATCTTTTATATATGCAGAATTGAAACTGTTGAATTGTTTGCTTGGCCTCATAATCATCTGCTGTAAATAGCCATTAAATGGCAACCAACACAGTAAACATGTCAGCAATTTTTTTGTAGTAATACAGAATAAATCATTATTTAAGGGACATATTTATTCCCCTGTGAGGAACCCAGAATTATGATACAAATACATGTATGTGTAATATAAAACCATCTGATATACAGATTTTTTTTTGTCTTTTCAGAAAATAGCAAATGAAAGAGAAAAACTAAGGCCAAATTCCACAGACAGTGAGTACTATAGTATTACAATCCATCAGTTTCTGTTTACTTATCACCAAACAAAAAGCACAGGCCAGTGTGAATAGGACCAAAGCATGCTGGTTCTATCTAATTAGGTAATTCACAACACAAAACAAGTTTAAAGTACAATTTATATGATATTTAAAATCTGTTGTTCATATGAGTATATAAATGACGTTTCAATGTCTACTGTGAGTCTGTGGCCTTCACCAAACAAATGACCATTGTGAAGTCTATTTGCAGTAAGACATATGGTATATGAGATAGGAATAAGATCACAGGACTTGGTTGTAGTATAATCTTTTGTACACTGAGGTGGAAATTAGTGTGAAAGGATAGTGATAGGAAAATAGTGAAAACCTATTAAATGGGTGATCTTTCGTTTGTACATTTGGTGGTTAAAATATACTATCCCTTAAAAGAAAGTTGATTTGGTTACTCATAGTTTTAAATCTTATCATAAATGTGGGAGATTCTATGGGCCCCCTTGTCTCTGTTTAGTACCAGCCCACTTTAGCTTTTCCATATGGAATCCTTAACTTGCTACTTTAAAATATTGATATCCTTGTCCACTAAAATTTGGTGATCTGGAACTCTAATTGTTTCTGATCTGATCTGGTGAATTCCTTATCCACTACTGTAGTGATGACATGTTGATCTGTGATTGTTTCTGATCTGGTGAATTCCTTATCCACTACTGTAGTGATGACATGTTGATCTGTGATTGTTTCTGATCTGGTGAATTCCTTATCCACTACTGTAGTGATGACATGTTGATCACTGAGCCGTCTAAAATCTAATTTTGTACTTATTTTAGCGACAATTTTATTTTTGTTTATTAAAGTGTGTGATAATACCTAGGTCTGCTAGAATACATACCTACAGCATTAAACCTGTTTAATGTTGAAATTGATTACCACTGATTTATAGTTGTCCAGTTATTTTGTTTACCATTAACACACTCTATTACACTTAAATCCTTTTTTGACAAATTTGTGTTGACTTTATCTAGATTGAATATACAGTTAAAATATCCTCCATATATATATAATATTTACTATGATATATGTTTTATATGAACATTGAGGCTGTAATTAGGTTCTATTGAACACTCAAGGTTTACCGTGTAGGGTTAGATCACTGTAGTAATGGACTTTAATCACAATGCATTCTAACCCTAATGTACTTCATGGCTGTCAGACACAATGTCATCCTTTAACCTTTCCAATTTTGTTCTTCTAAAAAGAACAAAGTAATGCAAAATGTGTCTTGCCAAAAAGTAAAAGTAAAATTGAGAAATAGCTTTAGTTAAACCGCTTGAGCTAAGCAACAATATCTACATGGCCATGGTAAGTGGATTTATTGGGGTTGATACATATGGCTCTCTTGGGAAAGATTAAGTACTGACACCACTGTCCTGACGTACTACAGTGGTTAATTGTGTGTGAGGTACCGACGTACTACAGTGGTTAATTGTGTGTGAGGTACCGACGTACTACAGTGGTTAATTGTGTGTGAGGTACCGACGTACTACAGTGGTTAATTGTGTGTGAGGTACCGACGTACTACAGTGGTTAATTGTGTGTGAGGTACCGACGTACTACAGTGGTTAATTGTGTGTGAGGTACCGACGTACTACAGTGGTTAATTGTGTGTGAGGTACCGACGTACTACAGTGGTTAATTGTGTGTGAGGTACCGACGTACTACAGTGGTTAATTGTGTGTGAGGTACCGACGTACTACAGTGGTTAATTGTGTGTGAGGTACCGACGTACTACAGTGGTTAATTGTGTGTGAGGTACGTACTACAGTGGTTAATTGTGTGTGAGGTACCGACGTACTACAGTGGTTAATTGTGTGTGAGGTACCGACGTACTACAGTGGTTAATTGTGTGTGAGGTACTGACATACTACAGTAATCCAAGTTGTTCATCATAGTTTTCATCATGAATTGTTTATTTAATCTAAAGTTGTTTAACACTTTTTTTATAATGAATTGTTTATTAAATCTATAATTCCTAAAAACTAAAATTGCTAGACACTGTTTTCCTCAATAATTGTTTGTTAAAACTTAAAGTTACTTAAACAGGTTTTATCATTATTTAATTGTTAAATCTAAAAAAGCTTATGGCAGTTTTCATCAAACGGTTCATAACAGCTTCAACTTTTCATTCAATTTATTTTTCATCAAATTATTGTTCATCAACACCTCAAATTCTTTCAACTTAGTTTTCATCCAAGTAACAGTTTATCATACATTTTTATTTACCTTAGTTTTCACCAATCTTCTATCTGAGACCAAATATTAATTTGTCTGAGGTGTTTACACTCACTGTTTACCAAAATGTTAATTTGTCTGAGTCATTTACACTCACTGTTTACCCAGATGTTAATTTTTCTGAGTCATTCACACTCACTGTTTACCCAGATGTTAATTTTTCTGAGTCATTCACACTCACTGTTTACCCAAAT